ATCATCTTAATTATTTGAGTCCTGCATTTTCAATTTTAGCAGCTGAGTTGGAATGGTTACTTTTCTTGATTACATACATTGAATTCTTGATCCTTGCTTAATTTAGGGAAGGAGTATCTCCTGTGTACTGTTCTTTTGTTTTCTACTTCGTGAGGCTTTTTTCAATCAGGTAAGTAGTTGATTTTGTGATAGAAATGTGATTTAAAATCTGAAAATTTTGTTTATGTGGTTTAGGTATTGTTGAAGTGATAATATTGACTAAAAAATCAGTCGTTGCCAAATTGAGTTCACTTAAACAATTTAACATGTAGAAAATTTTTCTATTTAAGAATGCAATCAAATATCTGATTTTTTTGCCAGTTTAAAATATATATTCTCCATGCCGGGATGTCTTTCGGGTATATTGAGATTTGAAAGTTTCTTGTACACTGTTACTTCATATTAATGCTTGACTGTAATTTGTTCAGATATATTGCTATGCTGTAGTGTTTCTGTAGTTATTCTATTTGGCTTGACTTCTGTTAGGTGTTTTAATGCACCAGGAGTACAGTGTGCTTGATTACGAAGAGAAAGTGGTTGATGGTTTCTATGATGTGTATGGGCCTTCCACAAATTCAGCACTCCAAGGAAAAATCCCATGTCTTGCAGATCTTGAGACAAATCTCGGGAATTATGGCTTTGAAGTTGTGATTGTCAATCGAACAATTGACCCTGTCTTAGAAGAGTTGGTGCCAATTGCGCATTGTATTGCATTAGATTGCCCTGCTAGTAATGTTAGTGTTTTAGTCCAAAAGTTTGCCGAATTTGTTACAGGCCATTTGGTGGACCTGTTAAGGATGCTACTATAAAGTTGGCAAGGTGGATGGAAAGGAGCACAGAATTGAGAACATCTCTTCATACAAGTTTGTTGCCTATTGGGTCCATTAATATAGGATTGCCTCGGCATCGTGCTTTACTTTTCAAGGTTAGTTATTTTGTTTTTGGCAAATAATTAGGAACTTTCGTAGCTTTGTTGAAAGTAATGTAGGGCATATTATGATTAACTTGCTTACGTGGAAAATTTGAATATTTAATTAAAATAAGATATAAGAACATGATTAAAATAGCCTTTTCTTCAACCTCTCACCAAACGCTTTCTCAGTTTTTCTTCTTTCTCTCTTTCGTCTCTCAAATCAGCCTTCCTCTTCAATGGAACACATTGAAGAAGAAAATAAGATTTTTTTTTTTTTTTTCTGGTTTACTCGAAATGGCTAAACTTAGAAATCTAAGTTTTCGCAAGAGCCAACACGTTGAGAACGATAGGGGATTGGGCGTCGAGACCTAGAAGAGTTGATTTTTGGATGAAATTTCATATCCAGACCTGGTTTCAGAGGAAAATTGCAATCTCAGCTTCTGATTTTGATTCTAATCCTTCTCAAGCCTTATAGATAGATGCTGGAGTAAGTAATGAAGTATTGGGAAATGGTGATCAAGCTTGAGCTTCACTTTCATATTCCTTAGTAAATAAGTCAAGTTTG